CTAGATTAACAGTTTCTTGTCATTACCCACATGCACTCGGTACAGCCACATAAAGCATCATGGTATATGCTAATTGCTTAAGCTAATATCACGTGATACTAGACGTTCTAAAATTATGAGAATCCATAAAATTTAGCAAATTTGTGCTTGAAAGTTGGCAATGAATAATAATCGTCCATCCGTATGATTCTTTTGAAAACTTGAGCTAGAAACTGATAATCTAGTTTGCTTGGCCTAACCAATACTTATGTATATGCACGTGCTTTCACCCTTTAGTTTTGCTGCTCTAAATCAGCCGTCTTTAATCCGAATGACAAAAAACAGTGAAGCTATAGTAACAATTTCAACCCGATAGCTCACGTGACTATTTGCGTAGGCGTACGCAAATATTTTGGTCAAAATTGAGCGGTTTTTATTGAATAACTTTGCACATATGGCTTACATTTAGACCAAATTTGACACCTAATTGTGGGATGTAAAAATCTATCAGTGTACTAAATTTGAAAGAAATCATGAAAGTTAAGTATGTTTTTCCATTAAATAAAGTTTCCGCACTTTCGGTGCGAAGAAAAAAAAAACAAGAGGAAGTCCTCAATAGCCATGGCACTTGAAATTTCTTTTACACAGGATTAGAGTAAATTGATCTATGAGATCCTTTTTCCAATTTATTAGCTATGTTTTTGTGCCCCAGCAATACCCGATTCGATTTTATTATTCATCAGGATCTCTACCAGCCTACACTCTAATTGAAATTATTTTAGCTATGAGACCTTTGGAGTGGTCAAATACATCAATCGAAATGGTTTGACCTCCTGAGTCGAAAACTGTAATTAGATCTCAAATCAATCAAGAGATGACGGAGCTATGAGATAAAAGTTTGTACTTGAAAAACTCAGAGCCATTCTATGAGCCGCTATGCCGCGGCTAAAAATTGGAAGAAATTAAAAAAAAATTGGATATCTTATATATCGTGTATTTTTTAATAGATTGCCTTGACATTTGGTAGGTGAAGTAAGGGTCTAGTAGAGCACATCCACTGAAAGTATTTGACAGTTTGGATTACCACAGTCCGAGCTACAGAAAGTGGAAAATTGCTAATCTGTCACTCCTGTTAATAACACACACAGTGTGTCCTGCAGGTTGTTTTGGCCGCACGATACACTACCCTGTGTTTTGATACGGATAAGGCTCAGCCGGCGCTGTATTGAAGCCATCTTACCACACCCAGTTATTGCCAGCCCACAGACAGATTACATAGTGTTGAATGATTGCTTTCTTTGAAATCGTATAATAAGAAATAGAAATACTTTTTCAACAGTTAAAAAGCGATTATGATTTGTAATTCTTTATTGGGTGCTTTTCACGTGGACCCAGCGTAGCCAGGTGGTTAGGGCACTCGACTCGCAATCTGCGGGTTCGAATCCCCGTCCCAGCAAACATGCTAGCCCTCTTTAGCCGTGGGGGCGTTATAATGTCACGGTCAATCCCACTATGCGTTCGTAAAATAGTAGCCCAAGAGTTGGCGGTGGGTGCTGATGACTAGCTGCCTTTCCTACAGTCTTTCACTGCTAAATTGGGATAGCGGAAATAACCCTCGTGTAGCTTTGCGCGAAATTCTAAAACGAGCTTTTCACATATAAAATATGGTTTTATCAACACGCACCAATAAAAGATCCGATATTAGTTAATGTAATTTAGTTAGCAAAAACCGTGTAGTTTAGGTTGAAAAAAAAAACTCTCGTTAAAATGTATATCTGATGCTTACCGCAAATCAGAAACAGATATAATTCCAAAGAAAATGGTAGAAATACAGAAGAAGAAAAAAGGTAATATTTATTCATCAATTGTTATCAATTCTGTTGACGATGAATGAAGAAATTATCCATATAGACATGTATTAAACAATTACGTTTGAAGTTATTAGCAAGACATAATGTAAAAAAAAACCTTTTGTGCAAACTTAAGTAACATTTTTATTCGTTTTTTACATATTCACAAATTAAATATTTCTACACGCTTTTAAATATTGAAGTAACAATGTAATGATAAATGAAACCATCAATTTAATTTACAAATAAGTTCCCTGAAATAATCATTAAGTAGAAACATTTTACACTAACACATGTTACAATACCACTGTATATAATGAGACTTTGAATCAATACAATTACACGTAATTATCGATAATATTCCTATATACTGTTATCTAAGTTTATCAAGAAAACAGTGATCACGCTTAGTAAAATGAATACCTTACCTTTAATACACCATTTTAATCAGTGTTATATTCTTGCGGGGCCGCGAGGGAGCGCTGCTCCCATACTTTAACTTCAATTATTTTCTGCGTTGTTCTATTATACATTCAAATGTGGATCGATTGTAATCGTGTCTCTAATACGGAACGCTTAATATAATTTTTTTTGTCATTATCTGAAAGCACTTTAACCTTGAATATAATGCTGCTTTAAAATAATTTTCAGCTTGGTTTTATTAACACACATTAAAGAAAGATCCGATATTGGTTCACGTATTTTAGTCAACAAAAAGCTTGTAGTTTAGGTTGAAAAACTCCCGCCAGGTTCTTATTAAATTAAGTTTAGTACTACACCACTTACAGTTTAGGTTGAAAAACTCCCGCCAGGTTCTTATTAAATTAAGTTTAGTACTACACCACTTATAGTTTAGGTTGAAAAAACTCCCGCCAGGTTCTTATTAAATTAAGTTTAGTACTACACCACTCATCTTAATCTCTTCTCTAATAATGACGTGACTAATATATTCACATATTGATAACTATTAAAATTAATGATAATTAAACAGTACAGTCCTTACAGAATCTATCAACATCACGTCTCGACGGACAATGGAGCATGAACGAATATATTCCTAAGAGTTCAAGGTTCTAGTTCATGTTTGTAAAGCAAATGCCGGTTGTGGTACGTTAATTGTTCCTCTGCCCTCCCACGACACTTGTGTAATTATAAGACTTATAACACCATAACTCGGGTTTC